ACAACAACAACAACAACTTATGTCATATGTTGTATGTCCTCAAGTCCTCAGACTGTTTTTGGTAACAGCCATAACTCGGCAAAGTGAGGCAACCATCGCAAGCGCATGTGGAGAAAATGCATGACCAGCACAAAAGTGCGATGAATCTTCTCAAGAGATTTGCAGATTGCCTTTCAAAGGAAGCTTCAAGCTGGCTTGCAAATGTGCAGGCCTTGCAGAAGGCACAGAAGGAGGAGCAGGCTGCTACCAAAAGGGAACAGGATAAAGAGGCTAAAAGACTACGAAAGCTTGAGGAGAAGGAGCAGGCCAAGCAAGCGAAGGAGCTTGAGAAGCAACGAAAGAAAGACCATGATGCTTTGGAAAAGGAGAAAAATCAAGAAGATCCAGAAAAGCCTGAAGAGCCAGATGAAGATCCGAAGAAAGCAAGAAAGAGAAGGACCGGCTACAAAGATGAGCTGAATGACAGTGACCCCATGGTGCTTCAAGAAATGTCCAAGTTTGATGGTGCAGCCATTGCTATCACTGATGATGTGAAAGGCTTTGTGCAGGAAATCTGTGAAGATCCACATGTTGCTAGCATTGGGCGGCTGAAGAGGAGTGGAGGCATGTTCAAGAAAGTGCTGTCTGAGCAGGGGGGACACTCCTCAAAAGAAATTACCGCAATACAAAAGATCCTGGTGTCACAAGGTACAGAATTCCAGGAAACGGCTTTCCGTGCTTTCCAAGATCCCAATTGTATGCAGCCACGTACACAGAGTACACAAGAGGGGCCTGCAGATGCCTTGGCACTGGACAGGCTTTTGGCGACAGGAATAGAAGAAGCCAATGCGAAAGGCAAATTCACTCCTGAACTCATCTTGTGTGCATTGGACCGTGCAGACATTGAAAAACGGAAGCTCGCTGACTCACTTCACTTGCATATTTTTTTGGTCAGTCATGATTCATGGGGGTCATGAGTCATGAGGGTCAAAATTCAATGTAGTCCATGATCCACAGTCCAGAGTCCACAGTGTTCAATGTTCACACAATGTCTCACAATTCAGTTTTCTCTAGTGGCCACTGAGGATCTATGACACTGTGTACGCCAGTTCAAAGTCCAAGGAGACTGCACAGAAGGAAGCCAGCAGAATATCAGGCGTCTCCCAGGTCGCATTTCAACGTGGTGCTGTTTTCACAGGCCATGTGCCTGTGCCCTTGGCCCAGATCTCCTATCAAATTGAAGGCAGCAGGCTGTTTGCATCGGTTGATGCAATTGAAGCTATCTCTATGATGTTGGAGGAACGCAAAGAATCTCTTTCGATCACACCGGAAGACTCGCCTGTGCTACTGAAGGACAGGTTGTTCACTACCGACTAAACTGGGTATTAAACAACATGACCCAAACACACACACAGACACACACACAGGCATGTAATGTAAATGTAAATGTAAAGTTTATAATATGAAATGTCTATGTCATATGACATGTTATGTATATAGAATCAATAATTCATGTGTTTTGATGTCAGGAGGTGTTGGACTATTTACGAGATATGACACCCGACCTCTATGAGGCCCAGCGCCTGAAGACATTCAGATCTGGCTACATCTCACCAGGAGATTTGGTATACATCCCAGCTGGGACCATCTTTTGTGAGAAGGCAGTGGGAGGACACAACTTGGCGCTCAGATGTGTATCTGTGCTGATGACCTCAGACGCTTCGCTGTCTACCACTGTGATTGGCCACGCTTGTCCCCAGTCTCCTGGCTCATTAATCAAGAAATATTTCTTTTCTATATATTTTAAGTTTTAAGCTCAATGTTTGCAGTTCAAATGCAGTGTGCAGTTCTTTTTTCTTCAGATTCTAAATTCTAAAATTCTTGAGCACCAACGTTTGACCATCTAAGGGTCTCCATCAACCAAGCTATCATCAACATGGTTGCTGAGTTTCAGGATGCTTGCAAGAAGAGGTGGACTGCAATGAGTACAGCTGCTGTGAAAAACGCAGGTGATTCTGAACGTCAAGTGAAGAGGGAGCCTGAGATTGAAGCCAATGAGGATGAGGCTGAGGATCCGAATTTATCATGGTTGGATGATTTGGATGATATGGATACGGGAATGTGCGTTGATGACGCAGATTCAGATCTGAAGACACACCCGAACAGGATTCCAGTGCAGTCTGAGTCTGATCCACAGCCACCCAAGGATTCAGACGATGCAGGTGCAGAGGCAGGCACCACTAAGACTTCAACCAGGGATGCAGTCCCACAGCCTGTTCCAGAGGCACCCAAGGATTCAGAAGGCGCAGGCGCAGAGGCAGGCACCACTAAGACTTCAACCAGGGATGCAGTCCCACAGCCTGGTGCAGAGGCACCCAAGGATTCAGAAGGCGCAGGCGCAGGCACAGAGGCAAGCACTAAGACTTCAGCCGGGGATGAAGTTGAGCAGCAAGCCAAGGGTTCAGAGCATGCAGATGCAGATGCAGAAGTCAAGGAGCCAGAAACTCCAGCAACACTTATTGTTCATCTGGACGGGGATTCAGAAGTTCCATCAACACAACCTGACCCAGAAGAGATGCTTGAAGCCCCGTCAGCAGAGGCAGCTCCAGTTGCCATGCCCAGCAGACCCAGACCTCGAGCAACACTTGATGGTTTCTTCAAGACACTTCCAGATCAGTCAGCCAAGAATACCACCAAGACAGTCGCACTTGGCACAGAGGAGAATGACAAGAAGGACTCAGATGAAAAGGATAAGAAACGAAAAGACAAGAAAGACAAAACCAAGGAGCACAAAGAGCACAAGGACAAAGAAAAGAAGGACAAAAAAGAAAAGAAGCGCAAGGAGAAGAAGGAGAAGAAGAATGCACAGTCGGATGATCAAGAAGCCCGGACAAAGCATGAGCATAGTCACAAAGAGAAGAAACTCAAGTTGTCTGAGATTGAAGTGATGGGTGTCTTGCAGGCCAAGAAAGGATCAACAAAGGAGGGAAATGAGACGGGCAAGGGCTCAAAGCGCAAAGCTTCTGAAGTCAAGTCTTCTCAAGCAAAGGCACCAAAAGCAAAAGCTAAAGCCAAGGCCAAAGCAACCCCGAAAGCGAAGGGGAAAGCCGCAGCAAAGAGCAAGGTAAAGGCATCACCGAAGGTGATGGCCAAGATTAAGGCTGCGGCTAAGAAGCAGAACAAGAGGAAGACTAAGGAGCTTTTGTCATCTCAGCCAGAAGATGTGAATGAAGAGGTGGAAGAAGAACAGAAAGAAGAGGAGTGAGGAGTCTGTTGTGTTACTCTGTTCAAGGTTCACTCTGCTGTTTGTTCTGTTGTGGTTTGGATAAGAGTCAAAAATCAAAACTTGCAGGATTTGGAATGGCAGCCAGCCATTGCATCTCGTGTGGAGCAAGGGCCATTGGGCGCGTCCTTGCGGATACAGAACAGGTGCTAACTGCTGGTAGCAAGGACTGGGTATGGTTGGTGTGTTTCTCCCCCCCCCATACCTCCAAACTGTTTTTTCCAATTCACAGGTTGCAGAGTTTCCTGACTCAATTATTTGAGAGGAATCCAGATCATTGCGAATGGCAACAGATCAGGCTCACCATCTTGTGTGCGACATGGTCTATTGGGGCGGTGAGGCCATGCAAATCCACAGTTGCTACTGATGGCTGAGACTGAGAA